ATATTAAATATATTAAATATATATAATTTATTAAATAAGATTCTTACGTTTGTATGTCATCATCAGTAATATCTGTAGCACTTATAGTAGTTGTTAAGTTTTGATTTAGCTTTCGTGTAGTAATGAGCGACTGTAAACATTATAAAAACATTATTAAATACATATATGTATACATGCTCATATTAAAAATGTACATGTATGTTATATATAATAAAATATAATTCAGTCAAATACATGATCCCATAACGTCCGTGTGGCTCGTATGAATATATTATTAGCTTCTTGAGGAGTCAATTCGTCTATTTTACTTTCTTGTAAGAATAAACTTGTTAGTATCGCCTTTGAATCTTTCGGTAATTTATCTAGTAATAATGTAATATGTCTATGTATCTCAACTAAAAAATATCAAAAATTTAAAATATTAATCAGATCCAGCTTCGTTAATTTTTTTTAAGAACTTTTATATCTTTTCTATTATTATATTTATCAAAAACTGCGGAGATTAAATAAATATTTTTTAGATAAATCATTAAATTACAGAAACTACAGAACCTATTTAAAATATAGAAAATTCGTTTATGTTGTACCTTTGCCAATAGGATCATAATATGGTCCCTTTGGATCTTGCATTCCTAATAATTCACGTATCTTGGTTCCTGTACTTGGAGACATATAAAGGAATAGTACTGGCATCGTTTGTTCAAAATTAATTAAAAGCTTAATTACATGCCTGTATTTCACATCCAAAGTTACAAAACTTGTATCTGTAAAATATCAAAATATTTCAAAGAACTTATGACTCTTTTTACCCATATTTTCGTTATAAATAAAATAAATGTACCATCTTCTACCAAAGGGACATCAAATCTTACACCACTGTAAGAAATCATTACTTTTTGAGGAATACATTTATAAGAACCTATTACAATCATTTGACACTCTAGAGTTAGAGCAGTTCGTGGTAGATTTAGATACTGCTCTGCAATATCTGAAGAATTTTTATCTTCAAACATATTCGTAAAATCCAATATAATTTCATCAATGATATCAGCCGACGTGTTAATTGTGACGATCACCTACGTATATCTTACAAAACATTACTTTCATTATTTTTTTATTCTTCAAGCATCTTCAAAAGCGCGTTTAGAATTCCTATCCGAGTATTGCCCAAATATTATGTTATCCTTATTGAATATCACATTCAAAACAACAAGAATAAATGAAAAATTCATGTGTGGCAATCTGTACATATTCCAATATGTTTATTCTTACATTTTAGAGGTGTGTGAATAGTTAGAATTTTAATTCTCACCGTGTATATGGAAGTCGTTCGTGTCCAGGCGATTTTTTAAATTATGAAAATTTAGAAAACAAGCGAGTTCACGCGCCGTTCTATTCCTAAAGAAATTTGTAGGGTAGAGTAGGGCAGAGACAAGGGGAAGGTGCCCGTGAAACCCGGCAGAGGGCATTTTCTTGATATTCAAAATTGAACGTGCGCGCGAATACAAATATGTCCCAGGCACCCTCGTACATTCCACGCATATTTATCGTACAAATAAGAAAAATATTTCAAAAGTACACACGTTCGCGAACGTTGAAATGAATCCTTTTCAATCGTAATACATTTTTATTAATTTACATTTATTAGGAATTGTATGAAGTACATTTCTATGTCTTTCAATCTAAAAAAAATTTTAGTTTTTTTAAGTGCATTATGAATACTGCTAAATTTAAAATTCTAAGTAGAAAATGTAATACTTGATTGATTTCTCGATACGAATCTGAGAAGAGCGAAATAGACATAAGCATATATTGTGCTTATAAAAATCTACATTTATTGTATGTTACGATTATACTTACTCTAAAAGATTATAATTCCTAAATATCATATGGATTCAATAAATATAATATTGTAATATAAATATTTAAAAGCATAAAATGAAATTTTTTTTTATTTTATGAATCCTAGATCATTTATATATATATATATATATATATATACATATATATATATGTAATGTATACATTTTTTTCTAAGGATTCTGAATTTATACATGTTCAAAAATTATTAATTGTAAAAACGAACTAACTAATCAGACAAATGTGATCAGAATTCTATTACAAAATGTCGATAGAATAACACATAGAAAGAACCACTAATATTTGGTCCATGCCGAAAAACAAATGACTTTAACATCATCATGACTGGTGGCATAGCAGTTGATCATAGGTTTTCTTGTACTGCAGCATGTGTAGCAATGTTTTGTTTATTATTTTTGGTATCCAACTATTTACGAAACACTCAAATTGTCGAAAAATGTAACTTTGACTGTCCTCATCGTTCAGCAATATAACCACCGCTACAGGGTTATCCGCCTTTTCTAACGTACATATAAAATTTAGCTTTATGTTGTTTGCTTCATCATGTTCTTTTAATTGCTCCACTACTTTATCTGACATAATTGCTTCTTTCTCCAGAAGACTTAATTGAAGATCCAAAAGAGTTCTACCATTTTTCTTTCTATTGTACCACACACATTTATTCCCTGTGCAGCGAAACGTTACTTTTTGATAACTTTTGGTGTGTACATCAGATAATACTTCAACTTTTTGTTGTTTCGTTTCTTGATCAAGAAGCACCTCAACTTGCAACTTAAAAATCTTTTCAAAGATATCTCTTATTAGATTAAAAGTGATGAAATACCAATTATCTTTCTTATATTGCTCTTTATTAGTAATATCTGTACGTGTATCAAAATCTTCTGGTAATCCAGCATGAAGAAAACGACCCGCCTTTATTACATTTCTGAAATTCTTCTTTTTCTTTTTTAACTGTTTCAATTGAGGAGGTATTGAAGTGAATAACATCTTTATTAAATAATTGTAATTATTTTCACTAGCCGTTGAACAGACGTCAGCGCTAAATTTGCAGCAATGTTGAAATGCTAATAATGCACGATCTGACGTATTTGCGGCTGTATTTTGATTAAGTTCAATTGGATCCTGCACACATATTGGCTTATAAATATCCAATTTCTTAGTATTATTATCCATGATGTAACTTTTATATCTGTCCATGTAATTGGGTAATTTATCTAACTGTGCGAAATCAGGCAATGAATATGTTTTTCCGTCCAATAAACATAGCACACATGCAGTAAAATTAAATTCACCGTAAAAGGTAAAGAAATTGTGAAGCAGTGTTGCAATATTACTGCTGTTGGTAATAGCTGGTAACACAGTATTTTCATCAAAATTTACTTGCCAGCCATTCAAAATCTGTGGGATACAATTTCTCTGAAGGTGTAGTAAAGGCGGAAGGAGACTAATCGATTCTTGCTGAAGGTAAAAAATAATTAGACATACTAATCCATAACTAGAAATTCTTCCACTACCCGAAATTCCGAAATGCCTCGCCCAATACTTGATGAGCAGCATTAGTGGTCTTAATCGAGGATCGTGTAATGCACAATATCGTAAAAAGTCACTTTTATAGATGCCTAGGCCATTTTTGAAGGAAATATCGCAGGAGACATTAGTCGGTATATAACGGAATTTTATAATAGGTGTTTTCGCTTTAGGGATTGATATTATGTTGGTAAATACAGATTTCAAATTATACATAATTCTTCTCACTTTCTTGAAAACCATTGTCGTCCATATATGCGATGGCATATCCGGTTTATAATAATTTGGCGGCAAACCTGAAACAGAAATGGACGTTATTTAAATATGCGACTCATATATTCATGCGATAATTAAATTAGAAAATTTCTTACCGATTTTACCGACGTACATGTAGATATCTAAGTCACTTTCTTTAAAGCTTAATTGCGCCACTGTTGAACCAAATCTGTATGTCCGACATTCTGGGAAAATCGATCTGAATATTTCATCTAAATGAGAACAAATGACATTATATCTTGTTGTCAATTCAACTTCAGTAAGTTGTACTGCATTTAAAAGTGCTGCTAATTGGTTGTCAAATGTCACTTCGTTTTCAATAACATCTTTTATACGATCGTAACCTATTGGATCTTCTTCTTCTTCTTCAGTTTTATTCTCAAATCTTTTTTTTTTTCGAACAGTGTCATTTTGTTGTTGTGGCTCTAAATTAGTAGGTTTTTGTAGTTGCGCTATAAAACAATGAGCATATATAAGTAATATCATTTCAAAATTATTAAGAGATATAATAATTGTGTGTGTGTGCATCTTACTTTCACTTCTCCTCAGTCTTCTCATACATAATTTTTCATTTGGTAGCCAATTTGTTCTGCTCATTAAAATATTAGTAGGATTCCTGCAATGCAATAACAAAACATAAATATTTTACAAGCAATATTTTGTAGAATAATATCTTTATTCACATGCTTCTAGTTATTAATAATTTAAAAAAAGTCTAAAAAATTAATAATAATCTAGTTATTAATATTTGTGTTCTTTTTTTTCTTTTTAAATAATAATTATATATATTTATATTATAAACAATAATTATATTATTAACAAGAGAATAAATATTTATTCTAAAAATTAGGAAAAAAAAGAAAAACTTATTATATAGATTCCTAATATTTAAAAGAATAACGATAATAAATCTTTATTTTTACAGAGTAAAAAAATATAATCTATGTTTATAACTAAAAAAACTAATATTATTATGTAATCGCCTTTACATTCAAAAAAATAAAACAATAATAAATATTTCCATGAACTAGACAGACGAAAATTTTATTCTTGTATATTCTATCATAAATATTAATTATGAATTTTTATTACCTTTCAGTATATTCAATCCAAAAGAAATCCTGTCCAAAACGTTGTCTTTTAACTGTTCCAAATCGTCGAAAAAAATTTACTAAATCCATTGGCGACAGAGTTTTTGGTAAAGGTGAAACACAAAGCGATCTTCCTGATAAATAAGGCTGCTCCTCTTCAAGTGATTTTTGTTCTGAACTTGTTACTTGATATTTTGAACTCGTGGGGACCTGTTCACTTTTATGTTTGAAAGATTCATCATATGATTGAGAATTCATGTTTCAAAATTGTGAAAAATAATCGTAATTTATTATATTTAGTTGCGTTTCTTGTTTAATAAAGAAAAATTTTATTATTTTTAATTCAAATTTAATGTTTGATCATAAGCAGTAATCATTTTCAAAAAATATTTTGTTTCAATAAATCCTTTTGAATTTCCGGCACAAAGAACAACACCATTTTCAGATTCAAAAAATATTAAGCCATCTTCCTTTGCTTTCTCAAAATTCATATAAATAAAAAGTTCAGCATTTTGACGTAAACCATTGATAAAATTTAATCCCTTTGCAAAATGAATATGATTTCTTTTCATACGTGATAGACCTTCTGTTCTTATATTTGGCCAGTACTTCAAATAGGTGCCATGAATTATGTCAAAGTCTATGCGGTCAAGTATTCTCAAACTTAATTCATTGATCTTGAATAGAGAATGTCCTTGATTTGCTTTAATCTCTAAAATACCATTAATAATCTTAAGAGTAAATCTCTGTTTGTTATTTTCTTTTACTATTCTCTTGATATCATCAATAGTATAATGATGTAGTGATTTATTTAACAATTCATTAACTGCAACAAAACCATTTGGTTTAATATTCAAACCTTCCTTTGTAGCGCCATGACGTAGTAGATATGATAATCTTTTGCTGAGAGCAATATCACTTTTATTCTGAGTCTGAAAATAACATTAATAATATTTGTTAGAGATCATGAATTATATTTTTCATTCAATCCTATTAATTAAATTATTACAAAGATTCTTTTTAAAAATGCAAATGCGAATTTTTAAGCTCTTTGTAGAACATATTCTTTAGACAAAGTCTATATGATAAAATAATTAAAAATAATTATTACTGTTATTATATTGATTTAAAAATATATTCTGTTAATATATTCATAAAATATATTAATAATTTCAAAAAATGCTTCTTAAAAAATGTTTTTAATTTCCCTGTAGACTTATTTTATAATTTCTCACAATGTCATTGTTGTATTGTTGCTAGATTTTTTATTATGTACACTATAACTTTATAATATAACTATAAGGACACTGTTATTAAGACTTAATAATAGAATAGGCTATTCTTTCAATTGCAATTTCAATAGTAATCATATATTAATATTAATTTTATTAGAAATTTACTAATAACTTACAATAATTTTTACAAAAATAAAATGTTTAGTTATCTTTAACAAAAATATGTAAGATAAATGTTAAAATATATAAATTATAATTATAAAAAAGAAAGAAAAAAAAGATAAAAGTTCAAATAGAAATATGTGTGTCACATATATTAGATTTATCGACATTTAGATGTTTAACTTAATATTCGTTTTCTCCAAGCAGGACTACATAGTTATTCGCTCAATTCAGTTACTAGCTCAATTTATGTAGTCCTTCTAGCATACCAATGACCGTTCAGATATAAATAATAAAAAATAATAATAAATAAATAAGTATGTTTCAAAGACGAAGCAATTAAAAGCAAATCATTATACAGGCTCGCGTAGAAAAACACCAAAAACACACCAAAAACAGAATGATTTCTTAAATGTAATTTTATATTATCACGATGTTAATACGAGTTAATATTTATAGAAAGTCCACAAATGTCTTTTCCATAATAAATAACTACATCACGAATGTCTAACCTTTGAAAACATGAAATTAGCGTAGTTCGCAATCCTCGTAACTTCCACCAAACTAATTGGTTTTCTTTACACTAATTTAAAGGTATGTGTCTCTGAATTAATAGTATTATGTTCGTCGCAAATTTATAAAATTTTAATTAATATTATAACGACAATAATGGCGTAACACCCCACATACGCATTGGCCGTGAAACAAATTATATCTGCGCTTGTTACATCTAAGCTCGAAAATACTATACCGACTGTACTATCGACTGTATTATCCGTGCATTTTATTTCACTGATTTTCTTAATGTCATTCCGAGGTTAAACACGAGATGGCATATGTGTAGAACACCCTCATTTTACAAGCATATACATATTGTATGTGCATTTGCACAATAGATATATAAATTGGAGATAAACACGTCAGAAATTAATAAATTATAGATTTTTAATACCGACAGCGCATGTTAAAACCATAGCGCAGCCTTGGTTAGAAGTACAATCCTTTCTTCCGAGATTTAAATTGACGTGCATTAAATTGACGATGGAACAATCGATACATCGAACAGTGTCGAGAACGTTCAATTTTTAAGAGTCGAAACGATTTCGATATTATTTATGGCAAGAAATTCTAGCTACATATCATATATATACTTCGAGGTTCTTTGTTTTAAATTCCTTTTTCATTAAACGAAAAAAAAACTTAACAATTTCATTTATGTTAATTAAATACTTCATTTTTTGACGAATTAATCATCGACAATGAGCAGAATTTAAAGAATAAAAATTATAAATATATAATTATTATTGTTAATTTTATCTTTTTCTTTATATATTAAATAATAAAAAATTAATTCTATATATACTAATAAAATACCGTAGAAATGATATATTTGACGAATTAATCAAATTTATTTTAAATATATAATTCACTATCCTCAATCTAATCTCTGTTACATATATGTTAAACAATAAAAAAATTAAGTTTGTTCATATTAAAACATTATTCATTATTTATGTTGAAATAAAGATAAATTTTATCTTAGTAGTAGAGTTAACAGATGATTAATCGGCAGAATTATTTAAAACAAAATATATAACCTTTTAAAAAAAGACTTTTATAGTGTACAAGTCTATGTTTTTAATTATATATATACAATTCTTTGTTTTCAAATTAATTTTTTTTTGTTTGTTAAACAATAAAATTTCTAATTCTATTCGTATTAACAAAATAATATTTTATCTCATCAGCTTTTTATTTTTTAGCCACATATTTATTAGATTAAAATTCAAATTATAATAGACTTTATAAATAAATCAAATTATTAGATAAAAAGAACATAAAAGCCAATGCGATGCAAAAAATTGATTCTATTATTATTTAAATATATAATTTAAATACAAATGCTTTTGTATTAAATTTTATCATATACTTATATATTTAACCGATAAAAAGATGTTTTTCTCAGTATAACTAGACGACAGTTTCACTTATTTCTTTGCGTTTAACAAGACATTTAAATTCCTTTTTAGAAATTTAAGAACTTTGTTAAATTCAAATCGATTTGATAACATAGTGAATTACCGTTGCAGTTGACAATTATTTTTATATAATTTGTGAATTGCTAACATTCATTGCTGATTATTGCTATTATTTTGTCTTTAATGTAATGCTTTTTTTGGTCAAATTATACTTAAGTGATCGTATTTTAATACGATCTCGATCGAATACGTGTGCACGATCTCATTTTGATACAATAATACATCTTACGCTTTATATAATATAAACGTACATTTATTTCTTATTGTAATTATTTGACTGCAGAAAAGATGTATAGTCGAAACATTCCATGCATTGTATATTAACTAGTTCTTTAATTTCTCTTGATTTAATAAACTGATTTTAATGTTTGTTAATTAAATCTATCTATTAAATAAAATCTATAGAAGATCTATTAAATAAAAACTTGTTCATTCGACCTTTCTACCAATTTTATATTTACATTGCAATTTTATGCTTAGAAATTGATATTATAATTAATTGATATTATAATTAATGATTATTTAAAGATAAGTTTAATTACACTTAAAGATTGGCAAATTCTCAAAAACAATATTAATACGATTACATAACATTTCTAAATACACATATATATAATAAAATAATTTTTGAAAAATCTGACCGTAAAAGGATTTTGAAACCTTTACAGAAATTTAATATTGAAAGACATTGATATTAATTATTTTTTTTAATATTAAATTAACCAGTATTAAAATGCATTTCTAAAAAAAATGATAAAACTTTTGTTTAAATTTGTTCTTCTTATATTTCTCATCATTCTGACAACATATTTAGAGAAACGTTTATTATTCTTTCTAAAATATTTTGTCATCAGTAACGGACATAAGAGCCTATGAAAAACTATTCCTACTGAAAAAAAATACCGTTGCATGATAAAATCACATAATTAAAACACATAAATCGTAATGGATTGTTCCAAATCAGTACACGATTTTAAAATTATGTATTTGGAAAAGTCATATGATATGTTCTTTTTTCTTCTATTTCTATCATTCAATTCTTTAAAATTCGATATAACATCTATATAACTATAATATCACATAATGGAATGAAATTATTTGTAATATTATGTGATTTTTGGAATTACATTATCATTTTAAAAAATCACGTGATTTAGAACAATTCATTACGTGATTTACATGTTTTAAATACTTGATTTCATCATGTAATTTGTGACATATTTTTTTTCAGTAGGAATAGATACATTTATCTTGATCGTTTGTTTAAATCAATTTGTTTCCTCTATCTGATCTATATTGACATGTAGGTATCTAAAGGTCATCAAAATCAGGAAAAAAACATAGGTAACTTCTTGTAAGAGAACAGAATGTCTCGAAGTGATATACAAACGTCAGTCAATAGTTGACTGTGAATCTAGACACATCGTGAAGATACATCCGTCGGGAAACGTTTGTATTATTTCGAGAATATGTTTACAAAACACATAAAGGTATGTAACCGCGCAAACATTGTCAATGTCTCTTTTATAACGCGAGGAAATATTACAATTTTTTTTTAAATTTTTTAAAGAAAGAAGATTTTAAAGATTTTTTTTAAAGAAAAGATACATCTTACCATCGGATATTTTTCAATTATTGTCCCAATTATTATTATCCGTTCGATTTGCATTGTGCTAGATTTGGACATGATTTTACGAAATCACATAAATCTGTACTTTAGAACACAAGTCTTGTCTATCACGAATGGTGAATCGCGTCGGTTCTAGTCTGCTTTCGTTTTCGTGATGTTAAATAAACGGAACGAAAAAAGATTAAAATACTTAGAATCTACATGTGTACACTCGAGTTCGATAATCGCCATCATATATATGTCGATATTTTCATATCATAAGTGATTCGCGAGTATTTCGGAATATCAAAAATCAGCATAAAAAGTAAAATATTAGTGATATTAAATCCATTATTCTGTAACATTTAACGACAGTAACGATCGTTACATCATCATTGCGTAGATTTTATATACAGTATACCCTAAAACTTTTAGAGTGATTCTCGTTCTGAAGAAATCTCATTTTTTTAAATTGAAAATTGAGCTACTTTTTTCAAAACTGTCCCAATTTTTAATCTTTAGAGTGAGAGATCATGTCAAAAAATTTAGAGAAAGCTGCGCTATGACCATATAATGATATCATTATTACCGATAAGAATTAGGAATACAAAATAGAGATCTAAATCCACATTAAAAGGCCGAATCTAAAAATCAAGTTTTCATTTCCTTAGATCGCGCAATTACTGCTTTTATATTGTGTCACCGTACAAAGTTACATCGCAGCTGAAAATAGATTATTGAAAGAAGACGCTAATTTCTTTCAAAACTTGTGTAATAATATAATTTATGATAATAAAAAAGAAACTAATAATTCATATTGGATCAATCTATATCCTTTCTTGTGGTTATCATATAAGTGGAGCAATTCTAAATCCTATCATTCAAACATCGGAGGCAGAACTTTCAATGAGTATCCACTGAAAGATCAACTTTCAGTGCCCGTAAATAAAAGTGACAATAGAATGCAAGGTAAGAAAGTATGATTTTTTGTCATACAGAGGCACAATATCACGCCATAATAAAAATATTGTATCAAATGTATCTTGATTTATTAGGTCGAAAAATAACCGTTAATGAACTCATAAAGCGCACTAAGTTGATCACAACCTACATAAAGAAATTTCAAAAAGATGCAAATGGTACCGTTACTAATTCCTCTCAAAACTTTAAAGAAGCCAACTTCGACGCAGATCTTTTGCTTACCTTTGTAATGATGATATATCAATGGACCTCCGATGTAATAATCCTAAATACTATCGGCAAATCATATTACGAGAAGATCTTAAAGCTTCCAGAAAAATGTGAACCCCAGCTGATACAGACTAACTACACACTGCAAGGTGAGAAAGATTTTTTTATTGTAGAGAAGCGCAAAGTGCTTGCGTCAAAGTGGAATTGTTTCACAAGAATCTCAATCTTTTTTGCAGATCGTATAATAAGATCCTCCGATATCATAAGCATCATTAAAATGATCCAAAATCAATTACATACGAAATCAAAGGAATTATTAAGGAAGAAAAAGGACTACCACACAATGGAACGTAAGAGAAAGATTTTTCGCGTAATATCGTGACAAAATAAAAATATTATTCAGAATGTTGATTTTTCATGCAGATAATTCGACAACGGCTGAAGAGCTCATAAAACTTATTAAATCGATCGTATTTGAATTAAACGAGAAATTAAATTCTGAGGAAACTATAATATCGTCACGTCTCAATAAGGACATAGTCAAACTTCAATTGTTCGCATATAAATGGGTCCTTAATATACGTTATCCGAATATCCGCAAAAAATCTGTTAAGAACTTCCAACCACTGAAAGATCAGTCTTCATTGCTCATGGACAAACATGACAACGAATCGACAAGTAAGAGAAAGATTTTTTGCAGTAGAAAATTGCAATAGCGCACCAATAAAAACATATTTTTGTAAAAATCTTGATCTCTTATATAGATCAGGAGAAAAACACGAGAAAAACAGATGTCTTGAAGCGCGAGGGTAGATCGTTGACAACGCTCGATGCTTCTACTGAAACGGTGTGCAAATTCGAACGAATCATACACCACACATTAGAAATGCGGCTATATGTCTTCGGACGGATAACGCATGAGTGGTTCACTTATGAAAACTATACTATTGGAGGAAGATCTTTAAATGATTTTCAGCTTCCACTGGAAGATCAGTCTTTCTCATTGCCTGTGGAAGAAAGAGGCTATGAACTGGAAGGTGAAAGAAAGATTTTTTTAGAAAAGAACAAATCACAAAATTATCACAAAATATCAATATAATCTTCCAAATCTTGATTTTTTTCACAGACGAAATAACCATCAAGGATTTCATGGATAATGTTAAATTAATTAAACATCAAATAAATGAAAATTTAAAGATATCCGAGGAAACTACAATGGACACTAGTAACGAATCCTCTCAAAAATTACGAAATAGGGAACACATACATGTTAAAAAATCTAACGTTGATTCAATCAACAAACACTTGAATTACCTTCGATTAAAATACATATTGACGATATATCGGTGGATTTCTAATATAATAATTTACAATACCATTGGCAAAACGTCTCTCGGTGACATCTTTTCACGTCTACGGGAATGTCAACCTATGTTTCCCGTGAAAGAGACCAACGAGCAACTAAAAGGTAAGAGAAAATTTTTTATTTGTTGCGTAATATCAATACAAAGTAGAAATATTATTTCACAAATATCTCATTCTTTTACAGAATTTGAGGAAATAAGTAAGGAAATCATTTATCTCACCCAGTTGCTCCAGACAACTGCCTCCGAAATTTGAGGAGGACACTTATACACATACTGGTGATGAAAATAATATAAACAGTTTACACAGCAAACAGTTTACACAGTAAACATAATGATTTCTCAAAACATTCAAAATATTTCTTTTATTTATATATTGCATTTGATATTAAGGATCCACTGATAAGGATTATTGGATTATAGCGAAAGAAGTGAAAAATCATGTGTTTCTTTTCTTTCATCGATATAAATTTTATCAATTTATTGCATTAATCTATGAAATATATGTCGCGGTTTATTTTATTTTATAAACTAAAAATAAGCAATAAAGTAATTTATCTAATTTTATAACTGTATAACTAGAAAATGTAATAAGAATTTATTTAGAAATATTCAATCTTAAAATCTGATTTAATTGAATAGCTTCTCCACTTATTTGTATTATCATTTACATATAGGTCTTTGTCATTTGTTATTATTGTTGTATGAGATTCAAAAGAATTATCGTAAACTTGCAGCGAAAGACAAAGAGCTTTTTAAATCTTTATTTTAGATTATTCTATCTTCGAGGCATGAAGACGAGTAAGAGTATCCGAGGTTTGGGATTCCACCTTATGATAGAAAAAAGGACGAATCGTTTAAAATTAAGAACCCAATTGTCTGACGATCTCTTCTACTTCTCGCCAATGAAATTCGTTCTCTGACAACATTATTAGTCGTGTAACTTTCATGCGAAAATTGTATATATTGACAATTTATTAGAATTTTTGAAAAAAATATTGTATTTACAATTTGTGTCTGTAATACAAAGATCGGATAGATTATTACTTGTATGTCATTGTCTTGAAATTAAAATTCTTTATTAAAATTTTTCATTTGAAGTATTGTCAGTAATCTCGTGCTATTATTACATATAAAGATAATGTAGAAACATAATATTCTGAAGAAGCATTCATATACGATTTGAAAAGTAGAAAATTGTATTTTAACTTGTATTTTAATTGTATCGTAACTTCTTCAGACTAATTTTATTGGAACAATCAAAATTTTTTAAATTCAATTCATGCACATTTTGATAAAATCTCAATCGTACAGAAACAACATTGCTGCAAGTTTTGTTGAGGGTAATTTATACTTAATTAATTTTTCCAAAATTTTGACTATTTTTTTAACATATAAATTATTATGTAATTATACATTAAATCTGAAATCATGCTGATAGAATTAAATAATTTCATTATTTAATGTCTTTATTTTGATATACATATATTATAATGTACATAGAGTCTGAAGGAGTTAAACTCGACAGATTGATTAGCCCGGTCAACCAACTTAGAAGAAATTTTGTTGGATCTTTCATCATTGGAATGAATATTTAAAGTAGATATGCATCAACATAGATATCCATCAACATATAATTTAAACAAATGTGGCATAAAAATTATCTGCGACAAAAAGCTGCTTGCAAAGTTTGATATAATAGATTGATTTAGACACATTTTTTCAAATTCAAAATTTAATTATGTAATTATTTATTTATCACAATGTATACTTGAGCGAACACAGACGTATGTGTGTGCACAAATTAAAAATATATTTTATTTTTTAAGTTTTTAAGTGAAATAATAACCGTTGATCTATAAGAATAATTTAAGCGAATGTTAAAGATAATATTGTTTTTTAGTAAAAAATAATTAAAATTATTTATTCTGTAATGAACTACAGATTTTCAATACTGACAGCGTATATTAAAACATAATCCTAATGCAACCTTGATTAGTATAATCTTTTCTTTCGAGACTCAAATTGACGCACATTCAGTGGAACAATCGATACATCGAACAGTTTCAAGAATGATCAATCTTCAAAAGACAAAACGACTTGGACCAAATTTGAAAACTTTTGATTTAACCGACGACTTGAATTTAATGCTATATTATTTACGATTAGAAACTCTAGCTGCATATACATATATATAATTCGATATTTTTTGTTTTAAATTTCTTTTCCATGTATCAAATGGAAAATTAATAATTTCATTTACGTTAATAAAATATTTCAATTTTTGACGGGTTAATTATATTCATTCGATTAATTCATAATAAGCAGAATTTAAAGTATTAAAATTGTAAAGTATTTAAGTATTAAAATATTATTATTATCATCAATCTCATCTTTTTTTCACATATTAAATATAACTTGTTTTATATATATATATATATA